GACTGAAATTACTCCACTGTCATCTAAGCAGATGCGTCAGATAACCTCTGTCTGAGCCCAGCAAATAGAGTCCTTGCGACTGAAAATGAGATGAGGCATCAGTAATGTTATTATGCCAAGCACGTACTTAGCTCCAAAATTGATATTGTAAGTCAAACAGAGAGTTTCATCAGATTCATTACCAATCCTGTTTTGCTGATTGCTCTTTAACAATCTCTACCCACAGTCCTATTATCTCAATGAAACAGTACACTCTTGTTTGCAAAGCAAGTTCTCTAAATAGTAATTGCTGCAAGAAGTACTGCAGTGCAAGCTGGATCTATAAAGCCATTAATTTAACTAGCTTTGGGGCACAACAAGGGATGTCTTGGTCTGAACTTGCCAAGGTCTTTCCCTGATCTGGCCTGGAAGGAGGATGTAAGGATCCTACAAGAAAGAATAGGATTTAACTGAGTGGAAATGCTGCATCATTTCTTCTCTGAAGTTAATACCATTACTGGTTTCATTCAGCCACTACAGCATGTGTGGACTTTTAATATATGGAAAAGTTGAATATTCAGGGAGCAGATACTGCAGTCAAACATGTTTTTTACTCCTGAGACAGAAACTACTTGATTTGACTTCAATGTGTGTTCAAACTAATGTTGGAATCAACTTTTGAGGATTTTTTTGGTGTAACTATGTGAACATATGGGTCAGCTTGTCTTTCCAGTATTTGATCTCTCTCCAAAAGGAGAAAATACACATTTTCCCGTGCAGCTATTAGCTGAAACACAGAGCAGAAATTCAATTTCTCTTATTCAGAGGAGCCTGAGGACTGCATTTGAGTCTAATGCTGAGAAGGTACAGAAACAGTGGTGATATGATGTTATATGGTATGACATACAATATGTTGAGTGGTTGACAAAATACAATGAGCCAGTGTGTATGAGTTTCAGTGTTGGTAGGAAAATAAAAACTACAGTTATTGATCAAATTTAGGTGACTAGAAATACTCATTTTTAAACTGAATGAATGTTCCCCATGCCTCATGTTCATTTCTAAGGGCCACATGCTGACAGCAGCAGACCTACATTGTGATACTCCTGGGAGATAAATCCCAGAAATCACCTGATAGTCTTTTGCTTCCATATGCCATAGGCAGCATGAGGCCCAGCTACCTGAGAGCAACTCACTGTGAGTGCAAGAACCCTAGAGCTGCATCTGCTTGTTTTCCACTCCTAGTAGTCTGAGGTCTGTGTTTAGAGTCTAAGACACATCCAAGATGGTCCTCCCATCCAGATGTTCCACAACACAGTGCATATTACCTAGAATTCTGTAGTGGTGGCTACTCATTTCAGCTGGTTTGGAGTGTCCCTGTATAGATAATTCACTGAAAAGCTAGATGTCAAATGTCTTTTAGACCAGGACTTCTCAAGCTAGTCTTGATGAGCTTTTGTGAGGATTCAGAGATTGAATTTTTGTGGTAGAAGGCTTTGTCTCTTTTTCTCCAAGAACTTACCTGCTTAGGAGCATTTTCAAATTATGAAAAAAAATGTTTCTACTGCAGTTGAAGACATCCTGTTGCTGCAGTTAGAATAAGTCAAGCAGTTCTGAAATGAAAACTGGTCACACCTGTGTGAACACTAATGCTAAGTTGCATCTCTGGTGCACAAGAGTTTGGCAGCTGCCAGCAGTCTCCACGCTAGTCAGCTCCTTGCAGCAATAAAACCTGATTGCTGTCTACAGAGATGCCATTTCATCCTTCCCTGCTGTACAGCTGCGGCCCTGCCTCGCTGAGGGCTTTGAGTAATTACAAAATGTGCTTCCAGCTATATCTGTATGTACAACACTGTGTTACAGCTCAGGGCCAGCAAACTGAAGCAGTGACAGTCACCAGCATCAGGATAACCAGAATCCCCACGTGCCATACATTTCCTGTTTTTAATGAAGCACTTTTTGCCCTCCACCCTAAGCAACAGCTTGTTGTATGACTCCATCAAAATCCACATCTAACTGATATTGGGTCCCTTTCCTCAAGTTAGTAGAAATACTTTTATTCAGTTATTTGAATAGAAACAGAATCAAATCCTTGAAACAGAAAGCATCAAGTTTGTTCATCACTGAGGAAGCCACAATACTCAGTAAAAGGCAATTGGTAACATAAGAAGCAGAGTAGTTGTTGAGAGAACATTATGTGTAACTATTATGCTCTGCCTTTTCATGGAACTTAGCATTGAATCTCAGTGCATTGGGGTGATTGTTTACTCTAAATCCCTCTATTTTATATTCCGTATAACTTCAATTTACCAGTTATAAAAGGGACATAATAGAATTCCCCTATCTTGCTGTATTGCGTAACTCAGTACTTTTGCAATCTTAAAGTGCTCAAATATGGTAGTACTAAGAACATAATATTTTTTGCAGTCACAAAGGTAATAGAAGTGAGGATCAGTATGCAATATCCATATTTTTGTTGTTTGCATGCATGTTACAAAGTTTATGTTAGTCCTCACAGACAGTTGTTTATGCACATAAACCAAATCTAAATTTCCCTGGGTTTGCACTTCCCAAGTGGTTAATGAGAATGGATAATGAGGCTGTTAGGCAAGTATGTGAGAATGCAAGCTTTGTGTCAATGCCTGAATTGAATATCTGATGAAGAAAATACACCATACTGGAGGACTTATTTATACAAAGTAATCCTGAGGGATATGACTGGATTTACTGAAAAAATAGGAACTTTTAGATAAGTTGAAAGTGCTGAGTTTTGTCATGTGACATACTATTCTTTTTGTCAAAGACACGTTTTTTTCTGTCTAGCATTTTCACAATAATCATTGCTGGAAAACCTGAATCCATTAGAAAGAGTGTGATGAGTAAATTGCATCTTTTTTTTTTTCCACATAATTTTTTTATTCTGTCTCTACTTAAAATTTCTTCCTTCCAAAAGCAGGACAGAGATTGCCACCTAGGAGTTTGTTAATTTTTCCCAGTCTGCTTCAGAGCAAGAATTAATTGCTACTTCTTCCTCTGCTTTCTTCAATTTCAGATTTGTCAATGTAATTTTTTGTACTTATTCTGTAATATACTACTTGTTTTGTTCTTTATATTCCATAAAAATATAAAAGCTGTTTAAACCTGATAGCTAACATAAACTACTTTCACCCGATGGGAAAAGGTATGAGCTCAGAGCAAATAATCAGATCCTCAATTTGGTTAATAAGAGAGGAGATACTTCTTGTTGTTATTTCTTTAGAATATCCTGCTATTTCACATCAGATTTTTCAAGTGTGTTCCTTAAAACCTAAGTGTCTTTACAATGTTGGCATGTTGCAAGTTAGAAAATACTGTCCATAGTATAGTCTTTGCTAGAAAAACATTTCTAAATCAGTCAGTGCTGGCTAGGAATTGTCATTATAAAAGCTCATCATAGGTATTATTTTAGTTTTGCCTTATGGGATGTATCAGTATATACTGCACACTTTTTAAAAGCTTTACAGTGGTCTAGAATTTGGAAACCGTATCTGTTTTCACTGAGAAACATCAGTACATTATATATTTCAAAACAGTAAAATGATTGACCCTGAAAAACAGATTCCGTAAATAGCTGTTCTAAAAGCCTCTTTCCTGAAGCAAGTCTTGCTGAAGATCGTGATTGTACTCTCCAGTGGAATGAATGAACAATTCTTCCCTTATGGAATTTAAGCAAAACTTGTTTCTCTCTTTATCTCCTTTCAGGCCTGCTAAAACAATAGCTACAATTTTTCTTTGAAGACTGGTTTGATATGTTACTTAGCATTACATATATACATATATAATCTGATTAGTCAGAACATATACTTGAAAGCAATTACCATCTCTTCAATTATAACTTTTCTCAGTGGCAAGCATAATTCATTAGATGAACAATTTATTGATGCGTAATCAGTGGCCTGTTATGTATCTCTTCTGTATCTCTTCTGCTTATGTGGAGAACTACCTGAAAACTGTTTGGAGTGAAAATACTGGTTTGGGCTTATTGTTTTTTATTTAGCCCTTCCATCTGTTCCTTGTAGTTTGCAGCAGTTGTCTTGAAATATTTTCATGTGGCCTTGCTGGAAGGCTGTTTCTTGGTTTGGTTCTTTTTTTGTTTGTGGTTTGTTTTTTGGGGTTTTTTTGCAAGTTTTCTGTAGCTCTCTATGTCTGGGAAAGAGGTGAATCCTTTACAAGTTAGCTAAATACCTGTGAAGTACCTTGCAGCTGAAGCCTGCAAACCCTCAGATGCTCAGATGTACTTATCAAAGTGATTCCTCACTCATTTTTCACATTATCAATTCTATGATAATGAAGAAAGGAAGTAAAAACAAAGAAAGGAGATATTATCAGCTGGAAAGAATAATTGGGCTGAAAGCAGGATGGACCTAGGAAGAAAGGATAAGAAAACTGAGAAGCAGGTGATAAAAAAAAAGGTATATGATAATGAGATACAGAGCCATGACCTACAATTGAAGGAGAAAAAAACTAAGCCAATGAATAAAAACTTAATTAAAAAGTTATTGCTGAAAATGAAGGCAAATAAAAATCCCTCTTTGTCTGTTCTGTAGGTTTACATTATTGATAGAATAAACCCTGAGATGCTAATGTAAGGTTTTTTATGTGAGTACTCATATGTAAAAGTTTATTGTTCATTACATTCTTAGATGGCAAGTGCAAAACCTGTTTCAGCACAGCCAATACAAATGCATTTCTTTTTAATTTAGTGACTATAAAACTGTATTTTCACTCCACACACTCTCCCCCTCCAAAAAAAAACCCAAAATAAAACAAGTTTAATAACTTCATGAAACCTGCAATTTCTCACAGAAATTTACTCCTGGGAAAAACTAAGGTATTCTCAAAATTTTAAATGCATTACTATTTGTATATTTATCAGTAGACTTGAGGCAGGCAGTTCTGAAAATGTTCAATTCATTAAAAGAACACAAAATAAATGCAGCAATAATAGTAAATTGTGCATAATTCTCACATCTTCTCCTCAGACTGGGATGGGACACCTGCGTGTTACAAAAGAAGGCCTTCGACTGGAAGGGGAATCTGAATTCTTATTCCCTCTTTATGCCAAAGAAATCCATTCAAGAGTGGTAAGTGAGTAATCTTGCAAAAATGCTACATAAAATGAATGTACTTCTGCATAATTGAACTTTCCATTATTTCTGTCATGTAAGAAAAAAAACATATATAGATGTATGTTCATGTATATCTGTATACAGACATATTTCTGCACACTTTACAAGGTCAGCGTTATGATGCTTGGTCAGAATTAACATTTATCTCCTAGGCATGTGATAAGCAGCTCAAACAGGAATTTTAAGTGTTATCATGTGTAAGTAATGCTAAAACTTGAGCAGTGTATAAAAAGGTTTTCATTATTTTTACTGAGATTATTTTTTAATACAGGCTTCCCTAGGAAGCTGCTTGTTCTATTTATTCATCCACTACAGAATAGTTTCAATATCTCTAAAATTAGTGGATCCCAATGGAAAAGTTATGATTTCTCTAAAATATATAGGATTTATCACTTCAAGGACAATGCCATGAAATGTCTGGCATGTTGTATTTATGTTATAAAATTTACAAGTCTAAATGGAAAGATGTAGTATTTAATCTAGTTCACCTAGACAGAAAAGTTTGTTGTTGTTATTACTAGTGAAGTAAAAAAAAGGAATGCCGTACTTGGTCAAATATTTATCAAAATCATTAACTTTAAAATGTCACTGAGAATGGGAGAGGTATGGAAGTTGTGGGCTTAGAAAAAGGAAGAGAGAATCTGATTTGGATTTTAATTATCCAGAGGGACTCTGAAACTTATTCCAGTGAAATTTTTGTAGAGATGTCTGCTTCTGACCAATAAAGTAAATATTTTTCAGAACTATTGTTCATAGTCCAAACATCAGACAAAATGAAGTTTCATATTTTGTAAATATTGACATCAACCAGTGGGACATTTCATTGAATAAAGTACTATTCAGTGACAATAAAAGCCAAATATGGCTCTTTCATATATTCAAACATGTAATTGAGAAGAAATAGCCAGCCATGAGACCTTTCTGAATCTAGGAAAAAAGTTAGTGTGTATACATATTGCTATGGCAAGAGAAAATGTAAATAAATTTCTCAGAATGAGGTTGTTAACATGCTTGATTACTAAAATTTAAGCAATGCCATCATATTTTGAGCTTTTCTCATATTGAGCTTTTTTCTTATTTTGAGCTTTTTCATATACTGAGCTTTCTTTTTCTCTCTTTCTGCAACAAGTATTTCCAGTTTCAGGAACAGCTCTTAATTAAGACAGTGAAATTCCATATTTCTGTTTAACTTCTTATGCTGTATTCTTTTCTGCCACACAGGCAGTGAGAAAACTATTTATGTGCTTTGGTGAATTTCCCTTGAGGTTGTTTATCCACTATGACATATAACTGTTTAAGACCACCACAGCTAATGTTTAAGAACTCCCTCTAGTCCCAGAGATCGTTATGCAGTGTTAAGCTACCATTTGTGCTCTCTTAATATTCCTTTCAGCTCTTAATACATTTAGTATAATATAGGAAAAAGAGGTGTGGCAGCATCTAATATAAGCTTGGCTGTCCAATGATCCATCATGATCATTAGTAGCATGCATTAATTAGAACCTTCAGGCTACTGCTTGTCTCTGCCTACTGACAATTCATCTGAGGTTTTTTGTTTTTACCCTTGCTTTTCTAAATATTTGAACTCTCTAAAGGCTTCGTTGCCTGCAGCTTGGTCTCCTGAGTTGCCATTTATGTGTTTATTCTCATAACATTACTTATTTGTTAAGCGTTCTTTTCCTAAATATGTCTTGAAGAACCGGGCCCCTCTCAGCTTCCAAAGCAGCTTACTCCCTTGCCTTAATAGTTTTCTCCTTGCAGTCTCCTAACAGATTTTCTCACCTAATGAGGTCTCTAAAGTGCTAAGAAAATATGTAGCAGAAAATCTACTTGCTGTGCATTGCCTCTGGAGCCTATTACAAGTTTATGCCTTCATTATGAGTCCAACACAGACCATTGCACCTTTGCTAAAACATCTTCATGGAAAGATAGAAGATGAGCATTTTTAAATATGTTACTAGATTTTTATTAGTCAAAACCATATGTGTGGCAGCAGGTTTAGAGTACAGTTTATTCACATTTTCATTTGATATCACAAATTGCTAAATTATTTTTTTAATCAGCCAGTGGCAATGAAAAAAGTGTAATAAAGATGCCAAGCCTTTTGGGTGATTTTGCAGATTTACTTAAATATACCATATTTACCCAATCCCCAATCTTTGTTGGGGATTGGGTAAATATCTTTGTTTTCCACTTCATACTAACTTACTACCATTAATGTTCATTCTAACACATGGCTTACTTTTTTCCGTAGACTTTTCGTTATTTGTGTTAATTCTGTCAGCTTTCATGCTTTCCCAATATAATTTACAAATTAGATTCATTTCTTTTGCTCACTTAATGACTTCTTTTGAGAGAGCCTTTCTTACCTACTTGTAAGATGCCATTTGGTTTTTTTTTTTAAAATGTGTAAGTTTGAGTCCAAATTGTGTGTTGCTTCTATTTTATTACTTTTTAATCAGGTTTGTGGTTCTCTTACTAAATAAGTGTTTTTAGTGAAATTCATCACATAAAAAGTGTTTAAAACTCTCAGTTTGTCTCATACTCTAAGCATTAAATTGAGATGAGGCTATGCCTTGGGGTTATCCCTTCGAGGTACTACATAGACTCTGGTGAGTGCAGAAAAGTAACTAGAAGCCATAGCTGTGAAAGAGGCTGATCTTTTAAATAATATTCTGGTAGTTAGGAACTCATTTATTTAGGAATGGATATCTCCACTGAGGTCACAAAGAAGGTAGCTTGCTGATACCCTCTTCATATCATGTATTCAGTGATACTTTGGCAACTGAGATCTGCTTAGGCACTTCTTATCACTTACTGAGTTCTTGTCCTTCAGACACAAAGTATGCTTTAGTATGAAAGCACCTGTACTGCAGAAAACTTCCCTTTTTTTGAAGTCTACCGGTGTATTTACAGTTTGCTGATCCAAATGAGCATGATAAGATTTTGTGTCCCCAGATAATTTTCTGATACTTAATGTCAAGTGAAGACAGCAGCCACTATGATTACCCTGAAAATCACCTGTACTGTCATCTCTTAAAGTCAGTATTGATCTAAAGTCAGCCTGCCACTCTCGCCATCACTCACTGTTGCAGCTTCCTTGCCTGGGAGTTAGTGCCAGGTGCCAAAATTAGGCCACAGACAGCATGGACCATTAAGGAAGCAGAATGCACATGCATGTTTCTCACCAAGTTAGTGCAATGATATGAATTCTCAAAGTGGAGTGCTCACACTCAATTAAATGGCTGTCTTCTAGGAGTCTCAGTTATGTACTGAAAGGTAGTAAATCTAGTACTAAAGCATTTTTTTCCAAAAGATAAAATGTTAGCAGCCATTTTCATTGGTCCAGTAACACAAATTTTGTTCACCTGATGAATTTTAGTTTTTAAATTCACCTTTATTTTTCTTACTTTAAACTTGTAATTGTAGTAATCAGAAATACCTGCCCACATTATTTGATGAGACCTGTGGATAGTTTTGTAGCTGCAAAGACCTTTCAGTGACTGTGTTGATACCAACACTAGACTAAATTTTGAAAATGGTTCACAATTCTAATTGCACTGTCTAACATACTTTTTTGCATTCTCCATACTTCAGGACTCGTCACTGCTTCTCCAGTCTACTCACAATGTGACTGTGAATGCTCGCAATTCAAATGGGGAAGTCACAGGCAGATTAAATGTGGGTAAGTCTGAGTGATTATTCCTTGTCCACTGCTTTGGAAACATTGTAATGAATATTTGTATAGAGATTTGAGAATATAAAGCACTAAACACATGATTATTTATTACTATTATGGTCATATTTGAATACTCTATTTGCCACTTAGTAAAGAACAGCAGTATATTTTCAATTTCTCAGTTAAGCAATAATTCTTTAAATATTTGAAGCACTTCTTTATTGCAGAGTTATGCAAGAATGGTCTCTGCAAAAATTACCCTTTTTCCTTGTGTAAATGTCTATTGATAGTTGCAAATCAGTTTCTGAGAAAATTCGACAAGTGAACATGGCTGGAGTCTCTTTTTATTTCTTAGTATTACAGAAACTAATACATTTACGTAGACATCCTAAAAAAATTCAAGTTCAAAACTCAGATATTTATATCTTTTACTATCTGTGGTAGCAGTAAAATACATTGGTTTGCTCAGTGAAATCAATAGATCTAGACATACAGAAGTGAGAGATCTTGGCAGCAAAAACACGCTGACCTTTCTCTTTAAATCATATTTTTAAAACAATAATGGCAACAATGTGTGTAAGCTATGACAAAATTTTTCTTTGCTTTGTTGCTATTTTTTAACCTCTATTTGAGATTGGAGAAAAATGTAACAAGTTATTAACGCATTTCTTACAAGTTCCTCGGGCAGCGAAGCATAAATTCCTGCTCATTTAACTGTAGCCTAACCTGTATATTTAAGTAGTTTACTAAATTGGGATCCAGCAGAGCATTGATGAGCAACTTTTCAATGCTGTTGAGGCTGTGTAACTTCTGTGACAGCTCCTGTTTGAAGATTACCATTTTTATTCATATAATGTTTTGCAAGCTTCACTATTTTCAAACAAAAGAAAAAAAAACTTAAAATATATAAAGGAGCCTGCTATTCCCGTTAAAAATGTATAATTATACAATGAATCACACTTCAGCCTTTAAATGTTTTCAAGTTCCCTTTTTATAATTCAGTTGATCATAAAGATCTGAATAACTTGTCTTAAGGAAATACCTCTAAATATTTATCAAAAGGAGTGTGATAAATAGGTGTGTGGCATATTCACCTTATATGCACAAGAGTTTGCTAAAGAGTTATTATCTTCCACAATTTCCAGTATGCTAGAATTATGTCTTAAAACTCTAGTCCTCTTATAAATAGGACTAGTTGCAATTTTGGAGCCTTATAGATAAGCTTGGAATTGTTCCAGAGATGACAACATAATATAGCATCTCTCACAAGGTTATAACAAAAATACCTTTTAACTCATGGAAATTGTGATTCAAATGATCTGTTGAAAGAATTTAATAAGTCACTAAGAACATTTTAAATACCCAGTCTTCAACAGAAGTAATTCACACGAGAGATGTGAAACAAATCTTTACTTGAATTTTTGTGAAATTCCCCCTATGAAGATAATAGGCACATATTATTAATTCCTTCATGAATCACAGATATACAAAAAAGACATAAAATGTGAGCAAATTCCAACATGATCACTCTGGCTTTAAAGATTCTTCATGCCCCTCAGTTCATCTGTATGAAATACTTCTTGGAGGAGTTGTCTGGACATTGTTTTTTAAATCAAAGTGATCTAGATACTGAGTTTTATACTGTCATCCATAATTACACTGCTTTCAGAATTCTCTCTAAATGCAAATACTTCAAAAACTGCTTGCCAGGAAAATAATACTTTCAAAATAATAGGGATCATAATTTAAAATAAACCCCAACAATTACCTTCTTTACTCTTTTTGGACTTCAGTGGCCCCCTGGATGACAAAAACACCCATTTTGTTTTAATTACTTTTTACAAATAAACAAGAACAAAACAACATTAAAGTAAATAAGAGCTTTATTTAAGGGAAGGGATTTCTTTGTTAATATTTCTAGGAGAAATGGGACTTAGAAAGACATTGGCCAACAGATAGCAAGGAAGGAGTCCATGGAAAGCGAAGTTCTGGGAATGTACAGGCTTCATAGTCATAGGGAATTCAGAAAGTTGTGGAGAGAGTTGCTTATAGGCGAAGCAACAATGTGTACAGAACTGATGGTAAATATTCTCACTGCAGTAGCTCCTCTCCTTAAAATCATGAATAAAATTCAGGTGTCATTGTTATTTGCTTATCAACTTTCAAAATTAAAATATCTAGAACTTTCTTTGCTAATCCAAGAAAGCTGCTAATTATGATCTCCAAGATTTTTTTTCTTAACCACTTCAAAGCCTTATTCAATCCTAGAATAAAAGAGCAATGCAGCACTTGTGATTTATATCCTGAGCAATAATAAATCAATATAGTGCAAAAAACTTGTCAAACTTTTTCAATAATGAGCAGTGATAAATATGTTACGTATAAAAGAAACATATAGACTATATAATCAATTATCAAACCATTAAGAGCAACATTGGTATCAAACAGTAAATGATGTTTTACCTAAGTAAACATAGACTTCTTTATACAGCTTATCAGCAGACAAAAATAATACAGTCAGCTTTTGCAGTTCTGCTCCAGTCATGGATAATGTCCATGAAGAGCAGAATGTTTCCAACTGTCTCTGATGAAAAGTAGGACCAGATTTGTAAGGTATCTGTCTTTCAAGAATTATGTAAAGAGGTTTCAACCTACAGAAGACCCTAAGTTCTCCTTGTAATATGTCTTTTTCAGGAGAAAATTTAAGAAAAAAAATTTAAACTTTTTAAAAAAAAGAAAAAAGGAAGTTTCCAAAGTCATGAAAGTTTTGTGGGAACAGATTCCAGTAGAACGGATTGCTGATCTTCATCCTAGTTCAGTTTTTTACCCCAAGGAATAGTAACATCAGTAGCTTAGGTCAGGGGTTCACTTTAAAGTGTTTGAAGCTTGTAGGAATTTATTTAGATAGTTGGATTATGAAGCTTTTCTGCATTGTTAAGCATGAAATCAGCTTCACTCAGAAAGCTTGGGAATATGGTGAAAGTCAAAACGGCTTATGCAGTGTGAAAACAGAATTACAGTCAAATTCTGCTTAGAGTCTATTTTCATAGACTCTAATCTGAACAGCTGTTACAATGAGAGTATTTGTACTATCTTTTTTCAGACTGGAACAACATTCTGAGGAAACAGATCAGTGTCCGTACATCATACATTGCTTTAGCACTGATAATTGCCATTTAGAAAACTTCTGCTTTCCAAAGTCATAGCACGTACGGTTTTCTTATCAGCATATTAATATTTCTTTTCAAGTGATGATATTTTTTCATAAAAGGCATAGGACGAAGAAAACAGTGCTAAGGAAGCATGATGACTATAAGAAGAGTTTGATCTTGTTTTCACAGGGAAAACCCTGAAGCCAGTTTCATAAACTTAATGACATTGTAAAATCATTTAGCTTTTCCTTCTTTATTTTTCCCAGAAGTCTTTCATTAAAAATCCCATTTTTGTCCAAATAAATTCTTTCTTATCTTTAAGATAAAAGGCAGAATGTATTCCTTGAAGATCTTTGTCTGTAAGATGATTATTTGCACAACTTCAATTGCTGCCCAGCTGGGCTATAAGAAAGGAAGATACAACATAGGCGCAATTAATAGAAAGATAAATGTGAAAAATCATTGAAGTATTTTTGAAGTGATTAAATATTACTATGATCAAGAATTTAGAGTATTTATTTGAAAGGGATTAAAGTAGGAATGTTTACTTCCTAGAGTATAAAAATTTTAGCTATCAGTGAATCTGACCATGTAAAAACATACATGCTGCTTTATTTAAAAGTCAGATTTGGTTAGATAGATAAATATTAGAGAATTACAGGTGGCTGCTAAAACATTCTACAGACCTTTTAACCAATTCTCCTTTTTAAGAGAATATGCATTAAATGCACATGCTTTTTAATATGCATTAAATGCAAATGTTTTTAGTATTTTGGGAGAGCATTGAGTATTTGAATGTATATCATGTTGAAAAGAATTAAAACAAATAGCAGAAACCAGTAAGAAACATTCAAGATATGTTTAAATGAGAGCTAGCTAAGCAAATCAAGCCGCAGTTTAATATTTAGACTCAAAGGAAAAGTATCCTTTTCTGAAAGAAACCATCATTGACGGTCTAAGCACCATGTAGAGTAAGGTGCTTACCATAGCAAGATATGCACATCCTGTCCCCACATATGATAATCTTTATGAAGAAATTCATGATGGTGTTCACAGTCAGACTGATTTAAGCCAGAATTAAAACATCCTCTAGGAGTTAATGAGATAGTGAGTGTGAGGGTGGAGGGGCACCAGAACAGCATGCCCAGAGAAACTGTAGCTGCCCCATCCCTGGCAGTGTTCAAGACCAGGCTTGGATGGAGCTGTAAGAAACCTGATTTAGTGGAACGTGCTCCTTCACATTTCAGGGGGTTGAAACTACACATTCTTTACAGTCCCTTCCAACCCAGACCATTCTGTGATTCTATGATAATGTGTATTGCCTACTTGTTAAACATGGCAGCATCACATTAAGGGGAGGTTGAACCTTGTTCAGGGGACTTGAATCCTATGCTGTCACTTTTCTTCTCACTTAGTCTAAAAGACGACATAATTCTACAGAGTTTGGCTCTGAAAAAACCCACTAATATGTGGAAAACCATTTTTTATTTGGAAAATAACCATTTGGGAGATCCTTGTCTCTCATCAGAGAGCAATTACTCATCTGAGTAGCTTTATTGTCTCTTTATTCCAATGGGAGGAAATAATTCAAAGTAGGTGAAAAAAGGGGAACTATTAAAGGTTTTTTAGCCTTCTCAATTTAACAGTTTTATTAAATTTCCAAATATTTTTTGGTTTCAGTGGTACAGTAATCATTAACATAAGTAATTGGGTGGTAATTGGAAGGTAATAGCTACTGCTAAAGGTGAGAATAGTTTCTGCACCAAAAATAATTGAATTTTTGGCAGTGGTTAATGCTAGATGAATTTGTAAAGGTTAGCTTAAAGTAGCTAAAATTTACTGAGACTATAATCT